CAATATGAAAACAATGCCAAATGAACTGACTGAGGAATAAATTCTGGTATTTTTTCACTGGACTCATGGCCAAATATGGACAAAAATAACTCATTATCACCAATTTTAAAACTGCACTAAATGTTCCAAAATAAGGAGTATCACACTTCCAAAACACATGAACATTTCTTTTTTGTTCACTATAACATATTCCTCTTGACAGAATGGCAAGTCAGGAAACCTTCTACAACTTCTATAAATAGTCAGAGATTTCCTACTCTTACACCATTGACAAAATATACTTTCATCAGTAATATCAATCGTTCAAAGGGCTTTCCCTGACTAATTCTAGAACACAAAATCTCCCCTACACTAAAATAATAACAGTAACACAAAAACTCACGAAAACCCAACCCACTTCCAACGCAACGCCATCACCATCAACACAAAAACAAACATCAAAAATACGTATATACCTCAACACCAACGGACCTAGATAACCCCAACCACTACAACTCATACAACAATACTTACATCACCCCAAATTAACCCAAAATATCCAATAACCCCTTCTAAAACCTCCTTCAAGTCAGCAGAGAAGTCCCACAACACAGCAGAAGGAGGTCGACTGAGCTCTTTGTCCTCCGAGGGTTTTGTTTTGGTCGATCAGCTGTTCGCTCGCTCGCCATCGACCCGCTAGCCAGACGGGCGCCGCTCGCTCGCTACGCAAGGGGCGAGCGGCCGAGCGGAGAGACGGAGGAGGAGAGAGGAAAAGAGGTGGAGGGAGCGAGAAGGAGGGAGTAAAAGAAATGGAAGGAATAAGGTGAGGTGGAAGAGGCAAGAAAGAGGGAGTAAATGAGGTAGTGGGAGTAAAAAGGGTGGAGGGAGCGAGGAGGAAGGAGTTAAGGAGGTGGAGGGAGTAAAAGAAATGGAAGGAGTAAGGTGAGGTAGAAGGAGCGAGAAGGAAGGAGTAAAAGAAATGGGAGGAGTAAGGAGAGGTGGAAAGAGCGAGAGAAAGGGGAGTAAAGGAGGTGGAAGGAGAAAGGTGAGGTGGAGGAAGCGAGAAAGAGGGAGTAAAGGAGGTGGAGAGGTGGGGGGAGAAGAGCGAAGGAAGAGAGAAACAAATTAGATGAAAGAAAGGAGGGGGAGAGGAAGAATGAGGAGAGAGGGGTGAAAAAAGTGAAAGGAGCGATCAAGACGAGATGGAAGGAGAAAAGGAGTTAGGGAGAAGGAAAGCGGAGGGAGGGGAGGAGAACAAGGAGAAAGAGAGATGAAATGAGAGAAGAGGGAGGAAGAACGAGTGGAGAGGGAGAGAGAGACGAGAAAAAAGAGGGAGCAGAGGAGCAGAGACGGGGCTTCCATGGTGGCAATCTGATTGGTCCCCCCGTGTACCCCCCCCACCCCCAATGGTCATTGACTCGTCGTAATGTCAATTATCGCGTAAACTTCTTTACTGACGTTGCACCGTGTAAAATATTAAGGTGTTTAAAGCTGATGATTGTACACTGCACTCATGTTAACTGTACAAAGCTGAGCACTACTGATGTATACTGAAGTATAAGATATTGTTACTGCTCTAAATTTCACTGTGATGAATGTGCTTAGTCTTATTAAAACTTATAACTGCACAGAACACTGAGATTTTTATTATGTTTTGAAATTTTATCTTACATTCTTATTATATTTGTTTCTTTATAGTAAAATATTCTCGTTACACTGTAAGAATTTAAGTGGTGCTTAGTTAAAACTTATTACTACACAGAACACTGCTATGTTCACTGTACAGAGTAGAAGCACCAACTTCTGACTAACTGTACAGCAAACATCATAATGTTCTGTGTTAGCCTACCGCTTGTTTAAAGTACACCCAGCAGATTTAATGTGACCAAGAAAAGCAAGATGAGGACATAAACAATGTTCGACTGTACAATATAAGTATTGAAGTGGGCAGCCTTATTTTTGTTACTTTTGAGCAGCCCCCTGAAATTTATTGCTAATACCCCCTGTTCCCCCCACCAGAAAATTCTTTGGACCCGCCCTGGAGAGGAGGAGAACGAGGGAAAGGGAGAAGGACGAACGGGTAGAAAGCCAAAGAGATGAGGTAAGAGAAGGATAAGTGTGTGGAGAGAGAGAGAGAGAGAGAGAGAGAGAGAGAGAGAGAGAGAGAGAGAGAGAGAGAGAGAGAGAGAGAGAGAGAGAGAGAGAGAGAGAGAGAGAGAGAGAGAGAGAGAGAGAGAGAGAGAGAGAGAGAGAGAGAGAAGAGAGAATTATCATTGTCATTATTATCTTTATTATCATTATCGTCAATATTACTATTATTATCATTATCGTCATCTATATTATTATCATTATTATTATATTATTATTATCATTATCGTCAAATATTACTATTATTATTATCATTATTGTTATCATTGTTATCATTATCATTTCTATCATTATTATTATTGTCATTATTGTTGTAGCAGTGGTTATTATCATTGTTATTATTATCATTATCAATATTGGTATTATCATCATCATTATCGTTACTATTATTATTATTAGCATTGTGATTATTATTATCATTATCATTATCATTATTATTATTATTATTATTATTATTATTATTTATTAATTATTATTATTATTATTATTATTATTATTATTATTATTTATTTTATTATTATTATCATTGTTATTATTATTATTATTCTATTATTTGATATTGTTATTATCATTAATTACATTATGTTCATTATTATCATTATTGTTATTACTATCATCATGATAAGCATCACAATCATTATTATGATTATTATTATAACTATTATCATTCTTAGTATCATTATCATTGTTATGATTGTTTTTATTACTACTATTGTTATGAGGATTATTATTGTTATTGTCATCACCATTATTATTATTATTATCATTAATATTATTATTGTTATTATTATTATTATCATCATCTATATTATTTTAACTATGTTCATTATTATTATGATTATCATTATTATCATCATATCATTTTTATTGTTGTGTTTTGTTATTATTATTATTTTATTATTATCATTCATTATTATTATTATTATATTATGGTTATTATCAGTATCATTATTATCACTGTCATTATTATCTTTATTATCATTATCATCAATATTACTATATTTATTATTACTATTATTGCTCATATGTTTATTCTTATTACCATTATTATCATCATTGTTACTGTTGTTGTTATTATCATGATTTTGATTATCATTACTATTATTATTGTTATTGTTAGCATCATGATTATAATATCATCATTATTATTATTCTCATTATTATCATTGTTATCATTATCATTACTGTTATTATCATCATCATTATTAATGTTATCATTATCAATAGTAGCACTAACAGCAGTAATAGACCTAGCAGTTGTAATAACTCTTTATAATAACTGTCACTATGATTTTGTTTTTTACTGAAGAATAGGTACTGAAAGATTATTAAAATTTCCTGGCAAGAGATTTCAGGTGATTTAATTCCACTTGCTCCTCCCACTTCCTGTCCTTACTTCCGGTGACCACGCCCCTCTGTCGCAGCGAGGTCGTGAGGAGGTAATGGTTATGGTGATTGTAATAAGAATTATCTTCATTGTTATTTTTATATTATTTTATTATTGTTGCTGTTTTATTCATTGTTTTGTTATTGTTGTTATTGTCATTATCATTACTGTTGTTATTGTTACCCTTATTATTTTATTGTTTATATTATTATCATAGTTATTACTATTATTCTCAATATTATCGTCATTGTTATTATCATTACTACTACTACTACTACTCCAATTATTATTATTATTATTATTATATTGTCATTATTATTATTGTTATTATTATTATCATATTATTATCATTTCTACCACTACTTTTATTATCATTATTATTGTTATCCTTATTGTTAGCACCATTGTTATTATTAGCATTATTATCACCAATATTATTATTGCTGTTGTTTTGTTATTATTATTATCATTATTATTATTATTATTATTATTATCATATCATCATCATCATCATCATCATCATCATCATCATCATCATCATCATTATCATCATCATCATTATTATTATTATTATTATTATTATTATTATTATTATTATTATTATTATTATTATTATCACCATCATTATCATTATCATCATTGTAATTGTTATTTTTATTGTCTTTATTATTATAATTATCATTATTACTGTTATCATTATTATCATCATACACCATTATTACTGCTGTTGCCATTGTTTTTTATGATTATAATCTTTATTGATGTTATTGTCTTTATTATCATTATTATTATTAATATAATTATCATCATTAGCATTATTAGTATTAGTCGTAGTTTCATTAGTAGCAGTAGTAGTATCGTTATGATTATTATCACTATTATCATGATTATCATTATTGTAATCAAAATCATTATTATCAGTATTTTTGTTGTTATTGTCATTATTGTTGTTATCTTTTTATTAGCATTATAATTATCATTACTGTTATCATTAGTATTATTGCTTTCATTATTTTATATTATCATTATTGTTATTATTTATTATCATT